CCCAATAGTAGGGTTCTGGTACAGAATTTTGGGTTTCTGGAGCTAGGCCATATTGTCTTCATCAGAGAACTATACACCATTCAAAAAAACAGCTCCTTGTATGCTGCTGATCTTTGACAGGGACTGAGAACCTGATCATGAGATAGTAAATAACTGTGCAACCAGAACTACCTATCACAGACAGATGTTATTAGATTCGCCAGCTCATAAAGTTGGCTGGGCCCAAGGGCAATACATCTGAGACTGAGACTGAGTAGGTATAGAGGGCACAGGTAAGTTGCATGACTAGGTCTTCATATTATCCCCTATTATGGCATAAATGCCTATCTTAGCTCATACCTATGGACACATGAGGGGTCCTTATAAACGTGCAATGAAAGGAGAAAATATAAACTGAGCTTTGCTCATTAATGAGTTAGCTTGGTACATTGGTGCAAACCAAAATTGGATTGTTATGTCACTCCCCCTCCAATCAGCATTGGCCTTAAAGACAGTCTATGGGGAAATCCTCCCAGGGGGAGAGCCTCAGGTAGTACATCTAGAATCTATTTTGTTTTGAAAAGTAGGCCAAGATAAAAACATACATGGACTCACAGGCTGTGATGATGGTTTAGCTGTTTTGTTAGGTCCTGGAAGGAGCAAGACTGGAAGATTAGATTGAAGAATCTGGAGAAAAGGCATGTAAATGGACTTATGACAGTTGGTAAAAATGGTGGAGATCTTGTGTTGCATGTTAATGGATATCTGATAGCACCTACTATAGAAGAGTCATAAAACAAACAAGTGGATGGATGATGCATCCATTAGATGAGAGTCAGCCTCTGTCCTCAGCTGCCCCAAATGGACTCATGAATGAAATAGCTGTGGAGGTGAAAGGAAGCTTTGCATGGGTTGAACAGTTTAGGCTCTCTTTCAGTGAAGTGATAGTTACTGCTACTTCTGAATGTCTGACCTATTAGCAATGGAGATTGATACTAAGCCACAGATAATGCTATCGTCACTTGAGGAGATCAACAATATATTTGTTAAAATGTTAATTACATTAGACTCTTTTTATCTGGAAGGAGCAAGGGTTTGTGCTTACTGTTCTTAATACATATTTATGGATATGGACTTATTTTTCTTGCCCAAAGTAACTTGGCCAAAATCACTCTCTGAAGTGCATTGGCCAGCACTATTATCCAGGGTTTCACTGTATGTGTGATTTATGGACATGGGATAAGTCAAGATCTACTTTATCACAAATAAAAGATTTACTTTATGGCAAATAAAATGTGGCAGTGGATACATGATCATAAGACCCACTGATTTCTGTCACATAAGGCACCATCCAGGAGCAGCCTTCCTGATAGATTAATGGATTGGCCTCTTAAATGCAGTGAAACTCTAGCTTGAAGATGGCAGTTATAAGGATGGGATACTATAGAGTGTAATCTGTACATTAAACAAATGAGTATTGCTCAAGGACCACAAAGTGACACAAGTGCCCCTGCCTGCCATCACTTTCAGTGAACAACTCAAGTATATTTTATTGCATTACCTACAACCTTATGCTCTGAGGGTATAATGGTTCTGGATTCCAGTAGGGAGACGCTTCTACTAGGGAACTAGTAAACCTCCCACAAACTTAAAACTACATCTGTCATATGGTTATTTTTGGCTCTTTGTGATAGAACAAACCAAAAAAAAAAAAAGAAAAACTGCCATATTGGTAGGATAATTTACTGTGATCATCATGAAGAGTGCAGGGTGCAGCTGAATAATGGTAGGAACAGAGAGAGAAGTGTTTGGCATGCAGGTGATCCAATGGAGTGTTTCTTAAAATTACCAGGGCAGTCTTTCAGTCAAAGACTAATTGATGATAGAATAGGGTACAAAAGCCCAGCTCCCTTGCCTTAAAGTGGGAAGAACTCTGAGGTTCAATTTATGCACTAGCAGTCTCCCAGGGGATAAGGCTAAGGCTAGAATTTGTATGAAAACATATCAACTTTAGTTTTATTTTACTCTCTACCTTGTTTTTCTCACTACCTTACAAGTTTCTCCTGAGAGTACTGCCTCAATAAAGCACTTATAAAAAAAGTATCTTTGTTTTAGACTCTACTTCTAGGGAACTAGTCCATAGTTTTTGTGAGACAGAAAAATGAATTGTCAATATAGATCACTGTAAATTCAGATAAATCTACTTCTGGGTCCCCAAATATTTAAAGATCTACAGGGATTACAGACCTTTACTAAAATATATTTTGTGAAGGTGATTTTGGAACTATTTGAGTAGGTGTTCAGGAAAAGTGTTTACTGAAACTGTTATTCTGACATGTTGCAAATAACATTCTGGTAGACTTATTTGAGAAATTATATGGAGGAAGTTCCAGAAGGGACAATTTCTTAATCATCAAAAGTCTGTTGTTAGTTCTGAACAGACACTTCTAAGAAGACATACAAATGGCTAACAGACGTGAAAAGATACTCAACTTCACTAGCTATTAGGGAAATGCAAATCAAAACCCCATGAGATACCACCTCACACCTGTTAGAATGGCTATTATTCTCCAAATAACAAGTACAAGACAAGTAACAAGTGTTGGAGAGGTTGTGGGGGAAAAGGAACCCTCATCTTCTGCTGGTGGGAATGTAAATTGGTACAGCTACTATGGAAAACAGTATGAAGGCTCCTCAAAAAATTAAGAATTACAATATGACTCAGCAATCCTTCTTCTCGGTATTTACCTCCAAATTTGAAAAACATTTATCTGTAAAGATATATGCACCCTGATGTTCACGGCAGCATTATTCATTGTGGCCAAGACATGGAAACAACTGAAGTGCCCTTTGATTGGTGATCGGATAAAGTTGTGGTACGTATATACAATGGAATATTACTCAGCCATAAGAAAAGATGAAATACTGCCATTTGTGACAATATAGATGGATCTTGAGATTATCATGCTATGCAAAATAAGCCAGACAGAAAAAGTTGAGAACCATAATATTTCAATCATAAGTGGAATATAAAACTGAAAAGAACAAACGAACAAAATGAACAAATAAACAAAAACTCATAGACATGGACAACAGTTGAGTGGTTACCAGAGGGAAAGTGGAGAGGGGAAAGGAAGTTAAGAGAGTCAAATATATGGTGACAGAAGAAATTTGTCTTTGGGTGGTGAACACACAATGCAATATACAATTGACATCAAATCGTACACTTGAAACCTATATAATTTTATTAACCAATTTTACCTCAATAAATTTAAAAAGTCTGTTGTTAAAAATTAAAACACGAATTTGCCAATATTGTTTAGTAAATTCTTTTTGGCCTCCATTAATCAATCACTCTACTTTCTTTAAGGATCTAGCTAATTTTCTCTGTATGGCCTGAAAATAGAATGCATTTCACACTAATTCCCATAGTGAAAATACAGTTAAAGGAAATATATATGGTACACTAAAATCTTAATGATTATTAAATTTTTGTTTTAATAAAAATATTCATCCAAGAACTACTTAGGGGAACTTGCCCATTTGGTCTACTTTAAAAAGAGATAATGATGCTCTGGCATCTGTCTTTCAGTTATTATATCAGATCAGGTTCACTAAGGGACTGTTTTTTCACCAATGCAAATTTTAAAGCTAGGACATACTGTTACTTCAGTATCAGTGTCTTATGTTTGGTATTTCTGCCTTCTATCTACCATATACTTGTTTTATTTCTTCAATTTATTTCTTGTTTTGACTTATAAAAAATAAAAATTCTTGGAATAATTAGATTTACAGAAAAATTGCAAAAATACTAACAGGGTTCTCATGTATGTTCAATCAGTTTCTTCTAAAACTAGCATCTTATATAACTATATTGATACATTACATTTGTCAAAACTAAGAAATTAACATTGATACATTACTATTAACTAAACTACAGGTTTTATTTTGATTTTACCAGTTTTTCCACTAAAGTACTTTTTCTTTTCTAGGAGCGCATCCAGATTACTACATTGCAGTTAGTTATTTCCCCCCAGTCTCCTTTGCCCTGTTTCTCAGTCTTTCCTTTCTTCTTTTTCATGATCTTGACAGTTTTAAAGAGTATTGTTCAGATATTTTGTATTACATCCATCAATTTGGAATTCTCCGATGTTTTCTCATGATTAGGCTGAAGTTATGAGTTTTAGGGAAGATTACAGTAGAAGTAAAGTGCTCTTTTCATTACATCATAGCATTGGGTACATGACCTCAACAACTTATCACCAGTGTTATTAACCTTCCTGTTGCATTTTTGATTACTTATTAGACCTTTCAACAACCTGCCTTATTGTATTTATTTTTTATTTGTATAGTGTTATGGTTGCTTTTTATTATCACAGATCCTGGAAGGCTTATCTTTTTCTGTGTTTTGGTATTTGTGTCTTTTGGTTTTTATATGCTTTATAAAAATTTTCTTTTCTGTGATGCTCTAACTCTTGCTTTTCACATGTTCTCTTTTGTTGGATAAAATCTCATTACTCAGGTTCACTGACCTACTGATAGTATAATTTATTGCCATCCATGTTTTAACTTGAGAATAGTAGTGATAGAGTCAAAAACAATACCACATTTTAAAAATCTTCTGTTTAAAAATATAGGAAACAGAACACATTTAAAGAAAAGGTTTAAAATAATTTTTGTGTTTAATAATATGTCACTTATCTAGACATATCTTACTATCCCATTGATGCCACCTAAATAGACATTATGGCATAGCACATAATCTCTTCTTTCAGAAGAGCTTATAATTCAATTACATATAGATTACTAAAACTGTATAAATCCTTCAATTGGACTTATTTTTGTGGAAATAGAATGAGTTATAATTGCTAAAATTTTTGATATAGATTTTAAATCACACATAGTCTGAGACATTTTAATTAAGACATTTTAAGCACTGTTTGGAGAAATTAATGTAAAATTGTTATTTTTGCTTATTCTATTACATTTGTCTTCATTCTCAGTTATTCTGTATTCTCTAGGAACAGATATCCTATATTATTCCAATAGATGAGAAACCATACACTGTACACCTTAAACAAAGGTAATATTTTTATTCTTTAGTTTTGGATTTCATTTTATTTATATGAATTTATTTACTTTTAATAAAAATGGACTATTAAAAATAATAAATGTAGTTGTTATTAAAATTTTTAGTTGTTTCATGATAGACAGATGGTCTTCTGTGAATTAATTAGATTTTTGGTCCTAATGTCTCAAGTAGTCTTTTGTGAATGGGGGGTGGGGATGGCTAGGAACAGAAGCAATAGGCACTCACTTCCTGAAGATTAATCTCTGTGATCTTAAGTTGGTGGAACCAGCAGGATCTATATAATCAAGCCATGATGCCAAAATAAGAAACAAGTTTGTAATTGATTATATCAGTTAGTATTTGATTAAGGAGGCAGGTTCACCACTAGGGATATGGAATAAGAGATTTAATACAGAAATTAGATCATACACTGAATGGGAACTAGTGAATAGTTTATGGAAAATACTACTAGCTATGTATTATCATTCAGAGAATTGAGAAAATAGTTGAAATAACTTTTTGTAGGGTTTAGTTCTCTGATGGAAACCCTGTTGAGAAAAGCTAGCTTGAAAGTGACTTTTAAGAGGACTGTCTCAGTTAAATTTTAGGTTTAGACTACGTGGAATTAGGGAGAGGTGAATTGTGAGAAAGCAAATGTAGTAAGTATAGAGAAATTTTCAAAAACATTGGACAGAGAAGAAAGAGTAGGCTCAGATAAATGTTTTCTAAGAAAGAAGAAAGTTTTTTTTTTTGGCTGAGGGGAAGTTTCTTCAGGAGAGATGTGTAAGCAAGTGATTTCATTGTGTAAGATGCCAAGGAATGGCATTGAGTAAGAGTTAATCTACTCCTGTAGACAGAAGGGAAGAAAACCATGGCAAATGATAACATGAAGAATTTTTTAAGGTGTGTAAGAGGGAAAGTGGGAAAACTAACATTACATTTGAACATCTTTTCAGGACTTTGAACAGTGGTAAGAATATAGGGATGGTAGTATGGTAGTTGGATAGAGCATGTGTATATTTTTTTGGGAAGTCACATGCATAATGATATGACAGTGCAATGCCAATTATGCCATTGCAGATAACTTATATAAGAAATAATGAGAATCAGAACTATGACTGTATGAAGGTAGGGATTTTTTTTGAGATATACTGAAGTGGCAGGAAAAAGATTATCTAACATTAGATAACAGTAGTGGCAAAGATGTAGTGGAGCAGTGAAGGAGAAGAGGAACAGATCTGAGTAAGAGCAAATATGGGCTCATTTTTGGAGAGATTGTATGTGAAGTGCTTGTGGGATATCCCAGCAGAAATGTCTAGTCTGAAATTAAATTTTGTTTGGAACATGAGAGAGAGGTGTAGCTTTTAAAGCTATCTTTTTATGTAGATATAAATGAAAAACCAAAAGTGAACAAGATAAATCTATAGAGGTGGAGATGAATATTAAAGGTGAGAAGGAAAAACAACCCAGAAATGAATGTCATGGAAATATTTAAAGAAGAAGAAAGCATCCAGATGAAGGGATATATAGAAGGAGACAGAAAGGTATGAGGACAACTAGGGGGAAATGGTATGATTGAAGGCGAAGAATAGATGGTTTAAAGAGGAATGTGGTCAGCAGTATGAAGTGCCTTACAGTAGGTGGACCTGACAGTTAGTGGTCATTAGTAATCTATATGAGATGGATTTTAGTGGAGGATTCCCAGCGGAAGCTAGTCTGGGTGGTCTAATTACATCGCATTGGATTGAGGAGTGAGCATGAGGTAAGGAAGCCTAACTAAAATAGCATAAGTACAAGGAAAGGTACTAGGGAAGGTTTAACTTAGACTTATAGTTTTAGTACCTATGTTCAAATTTACATGACTTTCACACAATACTCTTCTACTTTATTGTAAAGGTAGTATGTATGCATGGTAGTTAAATTTAGAAAGAATGAAAGAACAGATAACTCTTATAATCCCACCTTCAGTTCATATCTTTGTAAATTTTAAAATGCTTTTGTCTTGTAGTCCCTTCTCATTATTTTCTTTAAAAGAGTTCTTTGAGGTAGGAAAATTATTTTGAGTAAATGTGTATTGCTTTGAATAAAAAATTAGATATATGTCAAAAGAAAATACTACCTTTGTCAGGGGTCGGCAAACGTTTTCTCTAAAAGTCCAGATAGTAAATATTTTTAGCTTTGAGGACCATTCTATTTCTGTCAAAATGACTCAATTCTGCTGTTGTAGCAGAGAAGCAGCCATAGACCACACATAATTCAATGATATGGCTGAGTTCCAATAAAATTTTATTTATATAACAAAGGTAGGTCAGATTTGGTCTGAGAGTGTTTGCTATATATGTTTTAAAGAATAACTTTTAAAGTTCTCTTACTTTTTTATGTTTAGATTTTTTTTAGCAGATAATTTTATGGTTTATTTGTATAATCAAGGATCTGTGAATTCTCATTCTTCAAATATTCAGGTAAGATTTAAGTTCTATATTTTATAGATTTTTCGTAGCATTTTTTAAAAGTTTATTGGGGTAACATTGGTTAATACAATTATATAATTTTCAGGTGTATATTATAACTTGACATCTATATATTCTGTTGTGTGATTACCACCCAGAGTCCAGTTTCCTTCAGCTACCATATATTTGATCCCCGTCTACCTCCCCCGTCCTCCTCCACCCAACTAGTAACCACTAATCTATAGTCCTCTGGTAACCACTAGCCTATAGTCCATGTCCATGAATCTCTGTCTGTTTGTCCTGCTCATTTGTTGCTTTTAGGTTTATATCCCACATATAAGTGATATCATGTGATTTTTCAGTCTGGCTTATTTTGCTTAGCGTGATTATCTTGAGGTCCATCCAGGTTGTCGCAAATGGCAGTATTTCATCTCTTCTTATGACTAATATTCCATTGTATATATGTACCACAGCCTCTTTAGCCGATCATCTATCGTAGGACACTTTGGTTGCTTCCATTCCCTGGCCGCTGTGAATAGTACTGCTATGAACATCGGTGTGCAAATATCTTTTCAGATA